GTACTTTGCGAAGATTTAGTCTACTTGCTGTGTATAGGATGGATGGGAGAGAGAAGAGCTTTCAAGACAGGAGTCCAATTAGGAGCTTCTTCCGATAAATACTTCAGGTGATAGGTGATGAGAGCCTGAACTCTGGTGCTGTGGATCCCTCAAAGCCCAAGAGTTCAAATAATCTTTTATACTAAAATTGTATTCTGATTTCTCCCCCTCCCTCCTCTAGGCAGTTTGAAAACAGTTCAGAGGATAAAACCAAATAAAAGCTGGGGAAAGAAAGTTAAAAGGAAACCAACAACCTTGAGGCTTCCCCTGAGTACCTCACCAGACTCTTGAGAGCTACTTTTATATTCCTTGCTGAGAGGGCCCACAGATCAGGATCCCCAGATCAATTCACCTGGAGGCAAAATTAACCCTATGTGCCCCAGGTTAGCACTGCAACTTCTTGCATCCGAGGTCCAGAGCTGGATGTGGGACAGTAGCTCCTCAGTTTCATCAGTGTCTTGGCCCACAGAATGTTCAAGTGGAGAGAAAGGAACATATTTGAGAAATGCAGCAGTGGTAGAATGGATAATACTTGTCAACTGATGAGATGTTATAGACTAAAGAGAGAGGGAATTGTAGCCTGAGATTTTCAAGTATGGACTTGTAAGAACATTACTATTGAAAAGTTTCAGTTATTTGAAATATTGAAATAAATAATTTCTGTTTATACTTTATTTCCCTGAATCTAAAATGATCCGGGAAATGCAATTATGGATTCATAAAAGAATGTCTCTGTTTATAGTGTTTTAATACTTGTTTAAAATGGGAAGTAGAATTGTTCCTTTAATGTAGGAAGATTTACTGTGTTTCCATTCTAATTTTTAAATAAAAGAAAAAGTCATTTTTAGTCATCTTTAGTCATTTTTTTCTCTTTATTTCTCTTCAGGAAAAGCCACAGATCATGACTTTGGAGATAACAGTTTCCTTAGTCTCTGTTCTCCCAAGATTCAACAACTATTTTTGGATTTTAATAAAGGGCCTTTCTGTTTATTTTCATGACATTCTTCTAGTAACATCAGGGTTTGACTAAGAAACAGTTGGAACTTGTGGCCAAATATTCTTTGATCCCAGCTGTCACTTCTTGGAGTATCCCAAATTTGCTCTATTAGAAAACAGCCAGTGATGAGAACTGGCCCCATGATGCCAACTTAAGCTCCCTCTTCACATAACTTCTTCTATACATATGGCTCTATGCTTTTCATTTCCTCTCTAAAGTAGAAATTTGGGTTTCCTGGGGGAAGGGATTGGAGATGGTTTTTTGAATATAAGGACCCCAGGATTCCAGTAAGCTCTTGCTGGATGGAGCTATTGTATTTTATCTTTATTTCCCTAATTTTTAACTTGTGTGTGGGGTCTTACATACTAGGCACTTTGTAAATATTTTTTTGAATTTGAATTGAATTAACTTAATTTCTTAAGTTATCATCTTAAATGATCCATAAAAAATTTCTTTTAGCACTTTCATTTTTCCACTCATCCCTGCCATGTGAGCCCCATGGGAACTAATGAGATCACCAAGGGAAAGCTAGCAGGGTTTCTTACCCTGGGGTCTGTTAACTTGTTATTTAAAAATATTTTGATAACTGCCATTTCAATATAATTGGTTTCTTTTTGTGTAATGCTTTATATTTTTCTGTATCTGTTTTAAAAACATTCTTCTGAGAAGGGTTCCATCGGCTTTACTAGGCTACCATGACACAGAAAAGGTTAAGAATTGCAGCTATAGAGGAAAAAGAGAAGAGGATCCTCCCTGACATGAGTGGAGGGACTGTTTTTTCTCTTTCATTATATCCCTATGTACAGTCTGTGGTACGTAGTCATCTCTTTATAAATGCTTGTTGACTGACTGATCCATTATTGCCCCTTGTTCTGTCCTCTGAGCACAACAAGTAAATCCTCCTAAGGAAAGCAATAATTTTAATTTTCAAATTTGAGGCATTTCTATAAATAGGTTTTGTTTAGTTGTATACAACTTTACCTTCCAATATGTATCCATCCTTCCTTTATGATTATTTTAATACCTGGAGAAGGTCCTTGGGAAAACCCTAGTAGAGTCTGCTGTGCCATTAACTTATGATGACAGGTAGTGATGTGTTGAAAAGTGCTCATTTGCAAAGCTCAACCAGGTTTAATCTTATGGTGATTCAAGACTCTAGCTTAAGAACTTAGCAATGTGTCCAGGGCAAAAGGAGAGATTTAAACAATTTTGTAAGTTATTGTATATAATTTTGGTAAAAATACTTTTATTTTTTAAATTTTTTTTTTTAGGCAATTGGGGTTAAGTGACTTGTCCAGGGTCACATAGCTATTAAGAAGAATACTTTATTTTGAACTTAAATTTAAAGAATTACAAAAGCAATCACATTTACAACTCATTTTACCTTAAAAACTGATGTTTAGTATATAGTTAGGTATAACAACTTGTCAGTTATTGTCTCCTTTTCAAGTTCCCTTCCATGTCTTTGGCAATTCACCCCATATTTGTGTATATCATTTCTTTTATTGTTATTATTATCTTCTGGTTCTGCCTTCTTCATTTGCTTTACTTCTTGAACTTAAGCATATTTCTTTGTACACCTTTCTTTCTTAACTGTGTTACATCATCCTATTATATCCACATATAATTAGTTTGCTCAGCCATCTACCAAATAATTTGACATTTAGATTTCGGCAGAGGCTACTTTTCATTCAGAATTTAAAAAAAAAAAGCTGATGTTCTTGTTTCAGTGTAGTATTTCTTATGACTAGGGCTTTTACTTTTCTTGGGAAATATGGAATAAGAAGTAGTAGGGAAAATATTTCTTTTTAAAGTAATTCTCCATGTTGGAGTCAGATATACCCATTTGGGTTTCTGTGAAGTATAAATTACCATGAAAACAATCCTTTCCAAATTTCTTCTCCACAGATAATATATTTTAGAATCCCCCTCTTTTGGCCAGGGGCATACCGCTGTCCCTGTCTATTTTATTTATGTAGGGAATTCCCTGGAAACCCTTCAACTTATAGTTTTAGTTTAAAAAATTTAAAAATTTTGATAAAAACTAAAATTTTTAGTTTTTGGTTGTCTGTGAAATTCGGAGGTTAAAGGATATGATTTGCCAGGGTCTCACAGTCAGCATGTGTCAGAGTAGAACTTTTGATCTGGTAATAACCTGTTCATTGTATTTGTGAAGTGTTATTTTGGTTCTCATTCGCATCATAGAAACTAGAAAGAAAGTATCTGATTCCGTGTTGAGAATGGTCAAGCCCTTCCTTCGGCAGTTACCCTTCAGATCATTCCTGCCCCGGCTGTTGAATATTTCACAGGCATTATTATGGCCATCCCACACCCCATCAGGATGTAACACACAAATGCAGAATCTCAGGAGGTACAAAGTTTAGTTTTGTTATCTTCCTCATGCCTCTAATGGGTTCAGCATCTTTTTTACCTTACAATTCACTACTGTAAAGTCGGGCTCAGTTTCTGTTTTATGCCCTGACTTCTGCACACCAGGAATATGATAACAAGCAGTGTACTCATCATAATGAAATTCTGTCACCTGAAGAAAAATTGGATAGGTACTGGATAGAACCATGGAGTTCAGTGCAATCGCTCATATGTAATTGGTGAAAGTTATCTCAGTTTATGAACTAAAATGATGGTATTGGCTTTTCTGGTGTCTTGCCATTGAAACTGCTCTACATGCTACCTCAAGGAACAGGTAAATACATAACTTAGACCTTGTCTTGGGGTATTGTTGTTTGAAGTGCTTTGCCAGCCTTAGAGTACTATATAACTGCCATCTATATCTACTACTGCTGCTGCTACTGCTATGACTTCTATTGTGATGACTTTTTGTAATCATAGAGTCAGAATATTAGCACTAGAAAGGGCTTTAGTGGTTTAGTACCCTCATTTTATATATCAGCAACCTGGGGCTTAGAGAGGTAAAGTGATTTATTTTTTTTTTTAATTAAAAAAATTTAAATGATATTTTCCCAATTACATGTAAAGACAATTTTTAACATTAAGTTTTTTAAATTTTGAGTTCCAAATTTTCTCCTTCTCTCATCACTCCCTTCCCTAAAATGATAATCAGTTTGATAGAGGTTATATATATGCAATCATGTAAAGCATATTTCCATATTAGTCATGTCGAGAAAGGAGAAACAGACCAAAAGAAAAAAACCCCAAAAAATAAAGAAAGTGAAAAATAGTATGCTTCAATCTGTATTTAGACTCCCTCAATTCTTTCTCTGGAGGTAGATAGTATTTTTCATCATGAGTCCTTTGGGATTGTCTTCGATTATTATATTGCTGAGAATAGCTAAGTCATTCACAGTTGATCATTGTACAGTATTGCTGTTACTGTGTACAGTGTATTCCTGGTTCTGCCCACTTCACTTTGCATCAGTTCATGCAAATCTCTCTAGGTTTTCCTGAAATCATCCTGTTCGTCATTTCTTATAGCACAGGATTTCTTTTAGATCACACATTTGGCCCCTGTAATAGAAACGAGGCCCTCAGTTTTGACAAGATAGTATTTTTTCTGCAATTCCACTGAAAAAGGTTTCTGTCTTGACTTAGGGACAGGTGGTATGTTACCCATTTTTGAATTGCAGGAAGTAGATGTACAGAAAACGTGCTTAGATGGGGCTACACTGTAAGTCAAGGTGCACCCAGAACTGACATTTAGAATTTTAGCCTTCCTTGGCTATTTGATGCTGTTGTTGGTATCCTGAATAGTATTTTGAACATCTTTGCTTTAGCAGTGTGTCTTCCAAGTGTACCTTAAGAATTTTCTAAGTTTTGGGTCTAGGCTCTATTTTATAGAGGAATAATGTGGACAGTATTCTGAGTTTGCTTTCTTTACTTCTCTTTTTAGTAGTCTGAAGCTAGCACTAGTGAGAAATCAATAGGGAGGGTGAAACTTTGCGTCTCATCTCTGAATTAAGCTTTTTTGTGTGTATGTGTTTGACAGGTAAAAGAAAGTCAAGTCGTGATGGATATCTATGACCCCCAGACCTTGGGAGTTATGGTGTTTGGTGGATTCATGGTCATTTCAGCCATTGGAATCTTCCTGGTATCTACCTTCTCCATGAAAGAGACATCCTATGAAGAAGCCCTAGCCAATCAGCGTAAGGAAATGGCAAAAACTCACCATCAAAAAGTGGAAAAGAAAAAGAAGGAGAAACCTGTGGAGAAGAAGGGACGGGCAAAGAAAAAGGAGGAGAAACCTAATGGGAAAATCCCTGAACCAGAATTGCTTCCCAATATAACTGTCATCTCCAGAGACCCCATATCTGAGAAAGGTGTGGTGGTGGCTCCTATTGTGGTAGAACCTGTCAAACCTTCTAAATCTCCAGTGACATCAGCAGCAGTACCACCACCAAAAGCAGCAGCATCACCTCCACCAACAAAAGGAGCAGCCGCAGCAGCAGTGCAACCAACAAAAGGTGCAGCACAGCCAACTAAAGGAATAGCAGTGCAGCCACCAAAGGGAGGAGGAGGCGCAGCAGCAGCAACAGTGCAGCCAGCAAAAGGTGCAGCACAGCCAACTAAAGGAATAGCAGTGCAGCCATCCAAAGGAGGAGGCGCAGCAGCGGTGCAGCCAGCAAAGGGAGGAGGAGGCGCAGCGGCACAGCCAGCAAAGGGAGGAAGGGCAGCGGCACAGCCAACAAAAGGAGCAGCGGTGGTGCAACCAAGCAAAGGAGCACAACCATCAAAAGGAGCAGTGCCACCACAAACAAAAGGAGCAGCAGCACCACCAGGAAAAACTGCAGCGGTGGCAGTGGCGCCATCATCCCCAGTAGAGCAAGGGGCAGAAGCACCTTTAGGGAAGCGGGCAGCACGGGCAGCGAGAGCAGCAGCAGCAGCCCAGGCAGCGGCAGTGCAGGCAGTACTGGTGCCACCTACATCACCAGAAGCGGAAGGGGCAGCGGCACCAGCACCATTAGGGAAGCGGGCAGCACGGGCAGCGAGAGCAGCAGCAGCAGCAGAGGCAGCAGTGCGAGCAGTACCAGTAGTGCCAGCATCACCAGTGGGGCAAGGGGCACCAGCGCCACTGGGGAAGCGGGCTGCACGGGCAGCTCGGGCAGCTGCAGCACAGGCAGCGGCGGCACAGGCAGCGGCAGGGGCAGCGGAGGCAGCGGTGCAGGCCGTACCAGCGTCACCGGTGGGGCAAGGGGCAGCACCAGCACCACTGGGGAAGCGGGCAGCGCGGGCAGCTCGGGCAGCTGCAGCACGGGCAGCGGCAGCAGAGGCAACAGGGCAGGCAGTGCCAGCATCACCAGTAGGGCAAGGGGCAGTGGGACCAGTGGCATCTGGAGGACAAGCTACATCAAAAGCAGCTCGAGCAACAGCAGCAGCCCAGGCAGTACCAGTGGTGCCAACGTCACCGGTAGGGCAGGGGGCACCAGCAGCTCCAGGGGGTCGGGCAGCAGCAAAGGCAGCTCGAGCAGCAGCAGCGCAAGCAGTGCCAGTAGCAGCAGTGCAAGTAGCACCAGTAGCAGCTGTGGTAGCAAGTGCCCCTGCACCCCCGCAAGGGCAACCTGCTTCATCCCCTAAGGAAAAGAGGAAAAAGGAAAAGAAGGTGGCAAAGGTAGAGCCAGCACCCAGCCCTGTTGTGAGTTCCATGCATGTCCTTTCCTCTAAGTCCTCAGTGCTTGAAGCTGCTCCCAAAGAGGTCCCTGTGGTCGCTGTTCCTCCTGTTGGCACAAAGACCAATGCCCCAAAGGCAGAAGTCATCCTCAACCATGAGGAGCCAAAGCAAGAAGCCCCATCAAAGAAGAAGTCTTCCAAGAAAAAGAGTGAGCCAAGTAAGCCTCTGATTTCTTTATCAGACTGGATTAATATACTGTCCTAGTGAGTAGAGAGATGACCTCTAGGTTTTCCAATTCATTATGGCTCTTTATAAGAGCCCTAGTCAAATGATGAGGATTAGTGGTGTTATATTTTCTTGCATTCAGTGTTGAAAATGTGCAGTCCCTTAAATGATGTTTGATTATAGATTTACTCATTGGGGGGCAGGGAGGGGAAGTACTTTTAAGTTTTTAAGGGAGAAAGTTTGTGCAGATTTATTTGGTAAGTTTTCTCCCTAATAATTTAGTGGGAGGGGAGAGAGAGTAGTAATTTGACTTTACTCGTTCTTTTGTTGTGCTTTTATACAGAGCTGTGTCTAGAGTGTTCTTGTCTTAGATTCTCTAAGTTGATTCAATAGCTATTTTACTTAAGGTATTTTGACAGCCGTTTGTTTGAAATGAGATTCTTATAACATGAAATGTTTGGAAAAGCAGCAAGTAGTTTAGGACTTCTATGTCAGCTAAGTTTACCTGATACTTGTGTCTGCTTTATTTATGTTCACAGCCCCCACTTTTGAGATTTCCAACATCATAGTAGACACAGTCACATTTCATTTATATTATTGGATCTATTTGCATTGTGGATAAAAATTGTAGATTTGTGGAATTGAAAAGGACCTCACAGGTCAGCCCAAGCCCTGACCAAAGAATGAATCCTTTCTAGTGTTCCAGACAAATCCATCCTCTGCTTGAAGACCTCAGGAGTGCCAGGGAGCTGAGATGGCCTGTGTGATTTTTTGGACATCTCAAAATTTAGCCAATATTTTCCTCCCTATAGCTTCTGCCCATTGTTCAAGATTTTCTTCTAGAGCTACTCTGACACTCCTTCTCTATGACAAAACTTCAGATATTTAAAGTAAATTATTTTGTCTCTGCCAAGTCTTCTGTTCTTCAGGCTTAATATCTTCAGTTTTTTCAACCAATTCTTTGGATGATTAGTTTTTAGTTCCTTTACCATCCTGGGACACACATTACCTTCTGTATGTTCTTCCTCTATATTACTTTCATTCTGTACTTGTGTCGGGTTTTTTTTTTTTTTGTACTTTTTTTTTTAACAGGCGTATAAGTCTTGAAATTTAGTATGAATCTCACTATCTTTTTACCTTTAGTTTACTCTGTCATCTTTTAGAACCCTGATTCCATCAGCCAGTGTATTAATTAACCTTCCCAGCTTCACGTCTTCCATAGCCTTGATAAATAAGTTATTTATGCTTTTGTCCAAGTCATGAATTAAAGCTCTGAAGTGAATTTAAAAATGAATGACAGGGATCCCAAAGCCTTCTGGTATTCCACTAAAGATACCCTCTAGGCTGATATTAATCTATCAATCAGTATCACAGGCACAGAGTCATAGAGTTATAGAATGTCAGAGCTGGAAGGGACCTCAGAGAACATTTTGCCCAACCCTGTCATTTTATTGATCAGGTGGTTATGAAGCTAGTAAAGGGCAGAATTGGCACTTTAACAAAAGTCTTCTGATTTCCCAGTCTAGTGCCTTTCTCCTATGCTACTCTTTGAATCCAGCCAGTCAACTTTCTTTTTTAAAAAACAAACTTTATTGATGTTTCTCGGGTTTTCTCCTTTTCCCCCAAAGAAGTGAAATTTCTGTAACAAAGCTAAGCAAAACAAATAAACACATTGACTATATCTGGCAACAACATATACCTCTTTTCATCATTTTAGTCCATCACCTGTCTGCTAAGAAGAGGGAAGCATCAATTCTCTAAAGTCAAGAATGATCAGAGTTCTGATATCTTTAACTGTTACTTTCCTTATGTTATGGTAGTCATCTGGATTGTTCTTCTGGTTGTTCTTGGCATTCAATCAACCCTTTCTAAACCCACCTAACAGTATTCTTCAATCCACGTTGCTCTTTCTGGTCCATAAGGATAATATGAGAGGCTTTGTTAAATAACTTGCTGAAATAAATTAATCAGTCATCATTTATTAAGCACTTATTCTGTGATAGGAACCCTACTAGGTGCTAGGGATACAAGTACAAAGAATGAAACAGCTTACATTTAATGGGGGAAATGGTATGTATTTGCAATATAAAAATAAAAACAAAATAGATAAATGTAAAATAATCTTAGAGGGAGGACACTAGCAATTACAAGGATCAAGAGAAGCCTCATATAGTGGTAATTGAGCTGCATCTTAAAGGAAAAGAGGAACTCTGAGGCAGAGGGTTAGAGGGAATACATTCCAGGCTTGAGGGATGGCCAATACAAAAGTATGATGATGAGAGATGAAGTTTTGTTTGTGAAGAACAAAGATGAAGTCAGTTTGGTTGGATCACAGTGGGGAGGGGACGTTGCCCAGGGAGGCTGGAAAGATAGGTTGGGGCAGGTTATAAAGGACTTTAAATCCTAAGTAGAAGGGTTTATATTTTATCCTAGTGGCAATAGAGTTACTGGAGTTAACAGGATTAGAAGGATTGATAATGGTCGTATCTGCACTAAAGGAAAAGTCACTTTAGTAGTTATGTGTAGGATGGCCTATAGTGAAGAAAATTTGAGGTCAGCCAATTAGAAGGCTTTTGAAATAATCTAGGAAAGAGTTGCTGAAGGCCTTAACTGAGGTGGTTGCTGTGGGAGTGAGAGAAAAGGGTTGATTGCAAGAAATATTGTGAAGGTAGAAACAGCAAGATTTGGCAGCTTTTTGGATATGTGTACAGAGGGAGAGTGAGAAGTTTAGTGAGAAGTCTAGGATAATGCCAAGATTATGAACCTGTGACTGGAAAGATGTTGGTGCCTTCAATAGAAATAGGGAATTTTAGAAGAGTGGAGGGTTTGGGGGAAAGATGAGTTCAGTGTTGGAAATTTTAAGTTTGAGATGCCTTTAGGTTGTCCACTCTGAACTGTCTAATAGGCAATTGGTAATGTTGGACTAAAAGCTCAGAGAGATTGACTGGGACTGGATATGAGAGCTAGGCGTTACCTACCTAAAGATAATAGTTTATGGGAATTGATGAGACTGTCATGATGTGTAGAGAAAAAGAACAAAAAAAGGGCTGAGGAGTGTAGGGATTGGAAGTCTTGATGAGGGTGAAAAAAATGTTTAGGAGCCATAGGAGGAGGGATGTGGAATGGTAGGAGGTTATGATCAGGTAGGGGAATGTCAGAGTTTCTAATTAGGGAAGTAGAATTAGTGTGGGTAATGGTGAGATTTAGTGTATTATCATTCCTTTGTGTGGCTGAGGCGTGGTGAAGGAGTAGGTCATGGGATTTAGAGAGGTGGAGGGAGCATCTTTGTGAATATTAAAGTTTTTTCATATAAGGGCAGAAATTTTGGAGGAAAGGAAGATGGTGAGGTATAGGTACTAAACTCCTTGAGGAGGGAGAATGGCATGGGGGTGGGGATAGGGTTGGTATACTATTGCCACCATAATTTTTACATTTGATTGATGAGATTTAATGGAATAAAGTTACTGAGTGATGGAGTTAAAGGGAAAGTCTGTAAGGGATAGTGGGGTGTAAGGAGTAGTTAAGTCCTACTTTCCAACCAGGATATGTTGAGAGTGTGTGAGAGAAGTTAGTACTGAAGAGGATAGTCAGGGATGCAGCAGCATCAGAATGGAGTCAGGTCTCAGTCGGAGTCTATCAGATGAAAAGAATGTGAAATAAAGAGGTCCAGAAGGGGGATTTGTTCACTGTGGAATAAGGATTCCAGAGGAAAATCCAGATCTATTGTATTCACACTGTTCTCCAGGTTTAATAGTCTAGCAACTGAAGAGAAAAAAGGAAATGATGGTTAGTTTGGAATGACTTATTCTTAATGAACCTCTGTTAGCTTATAGTGATGACTTCTTTCTTTCCCAAATGTTCAGAGACCATTTATTTTAGAATTTTACCAGGAATTTACATCATGATGACTGGTGTGTTATCTGCATCTACTTCCTCCCTCTTTTTGAAAATCAGGGTGGTGTTTGCATGTATTCCGTCTTGTGGCAAGGTTTCTGTTTGTTGTGAGTCTTCAGAGATCACCATCAACACTTCAGCAGTCAGTCACAATCTGCAATTTCTTTTCAGTACCTAGGGATGAAGGAAGTGACTTGAGTTAATTGAAAATATCCAAAAGCTCTCTTACCATCTCTTGATCTTGGGTTTTAATTCCTTGTTAACCATTTTAAGAAAATGCTTTCTGGCTTGAAGGTCATTCTCCACCTTGAAAGAAAAAATAGAAGCAAAATAAAATTGAGTAGTTTGGTCTTCTTTCTGTTGTCCAGCATCATCATCATGTCATCAAATGAAATTTTGTTTGTGAAGTGCTTTGAAAACCTTAAAGGTGCTTGGCAAATGTGATTTATCTGTCCATCTTTACCATATAGGGATTCCATCCCTTTATCTTCCCCTTCCCTGTTTTTGCCTTTACCATTTATCACTCTTAGGTCATGTTGGGCTTTGGCCTTCCAAACACTATATTCTTGTTAGGATCTTGCAATTTTAGGATTTGTACATATGCCCTTTCAGAATCCAAGTTTGTCAGTACACGCATAATGTCTCTGTGTAGCCACACTGGTCTTTTTCAACACCTTTCCTTACCCAACTCCCCCTTTCTTCCTCATCTGAATCTATCGTGATAGATATTGTTGCCAGAATATTGTTCTTGAGGTCCTCCCATCTCTCCTGAACAAACTCTCTTTTTAGATTCTTGAGTCATCAGCTCTTATCTGTTCTTTTGAACTCTTTGATTCTCCTGTTATCCAATCAAGATTCTGGTAGCTGTTACCTAATGACCTTCAGGAGTTGATCCTTTTTCGTTAATGAGTTCAGTCTCTGGCACACAGTCTTTTTCTTCTTCCCACCCCCTATTCCTCATACTAGAGGATTTCGATATTGGTACTGCCCCAAACACCTTAACCTCCCAGTTCCCCAACTTAATCATTTCCCATGACCTATTCCTCAACCCACCTTAGGTACACATAAAAGATAGGTCCAGACCTTTGAGCTTGTCAT